CTGTCATCTCCATGCCCGCAGGGGTGGTGAGCATCGGGGAGCACAACGTCCAGGACCTGATTGTCGCCGCCGACATGCTGCAGCTGACCGAGGTGGTGGAGCTCTGCTGCGAGTTCCTGAAGGGGCAGATCGACCCGCTGAACTGCATCGGCCTCTTCCAGTTCTCCGAGCAGATCGCCTGTCACGACTTGATGGAGTTCACCGAGAGCTACATCCACGCGCACTTCCTGGAGGTGCAGAGCGGGGAGGAGTTCCTGGCGCTGACAAAAGAGCAGCTGGTTAAGATCCTGCGAAGTGAGGACCTAAGTATCGAGGATGAGTACCAGGTTTTCATAGCAGCAATGCAATGGATTTTGAAGGATGTGGGAAAAAGAAAGAAATACGTCGTAGAAGTACTGGAGCCTGTTCGATTCCCTTTGCTACCAGCACAAAGGCTGCTAAAATACATAGAAAGTAAGTGAAAGAAGGGAAGAAATGATGTCAGATGTTTGGGTTTGAGCAAGCCATGTGTCATTCAGAGTTACTGGATTTTGATGGACTTTTTAAAATTAATAGCATGATGATCAAAAAGATTTACTCTATCCAAACAAATTCTGTTTAGCACAGCCTACTTTAAAAACATGCTTTTGAAAAACTCCTATAAAAGTAGGTAATCTTGATTTGTCTGCTGGTTTAGGAGAAGCTAGTAACTTTTCTACAACTGGGTTACTTACTGGCTGTAATTTTTCACTATGCCTTTTCTCATCTGCTTTTTTCCTCAAGGTATTCCAGATTTCAGCCTTCGGGTGGCCCTGCAAACTCTGTTGAAAGAATATTGTGAAGTCTGTAAATCTCCCAAAGAGAACAAGGTCAGCAGTTTTCTGCAAGCTTCTAAAGGTCGTCCCCGGAGGAAAGCCAGGAAGTACCTTTATGCAGTAGGTTAGAATGTGGCTGTTTGAAACTTGTAAAACAAATGATGAAGTAGTATCTCATATTACAGTACTGAAAGAGATACTGGATTTTTTTTTTTTTAATCAAAAGATATAAAAATAGAAAAATATTTTAGCTGGCTGAGTTGCCATGTTAGCTGCTTTCTGCTTAGGATTGCACAGAAGGGTAGCGTTCACGTTTCATGTCATTATGACATGGCATTCAAGGCCTAGATTTGCCTTCTAGAAATTATTTGCCTTGGGTGGAAAGCTACAAATCAGCAGAGGATTTGCCCATGGTTCACTGCTGGAATGGTGTATGCAAATTCACTGCGCTCCTTGTTTTTCTGAAGGTTGAAGTTCTCTCTGTCCAGAATACTTTGGTTCATGTGATGGAATACTTGAAATTGCGAGTTTTCAGCAAGGCTGGAGCTTTGGATTGGAAGGGAATGCACTCGTTTCACCCTGTGGGAAGCAATGCTAAGTTAAGATAGCAAAGGCTGTTGGCTGGTCTCTGCATTTTACTGAGAGCATGAACAGTAATATTTGTAGTCTTGTAGTGATGTAGTCAGCTCAGGCACAAGTTATGTGATTTTCAAGGTAACCGTTCTTTCTGTGCTGGAGAAACGATGCTACTTGGAGAAGTCTGATTCCTTCTAAAAGTGGCTCATGGCCATTACTGTATTTTTTTCTTTGGTTTAGATACAGGAGCATGGGGATAAGCAGGAAGCTGTTACTCAGCCATGGTCTTTCCGCTTACTTTCTAGGTGGGTACACCCGACTGCAAGGAGGACGCTGGAGTGACAGTAGAGCCCTCAGCTGTGTGGAGCGATTTGATACCTTCAGCCACTACTGGACCACAGTGTCCTCTCTCCACCAGGCCCGGAGTGGGCTGGGCGTGGCTGTGGCAGGAGGAATGGTCTATGCCATTGGAGGTAACAGCTAAAATACTCTTTTCTTTGTTCATGGAAATTAGAGAACTCGTGGCTGGAGATTTTTAAAATTATTCTTCCTGTAAGTGGTTCTGACGAACCTAACAGTAGATAATAAAACTTTTATATATAATAACAATTGAATTGGGGTTCCTTGGTTCTCTACCATCACTGCTCTGTGAATGCCTATTTGGGCTCCTATGTTGACCATTTTTTACTAAACCGCTCTCCCCTCATGGCTTAGCAACTCACAGGTAAGCATATGTACATGTGCAGATGTGCTAAGAGGTGTTAGATATGCTGCAGACTTTACCACCGCTGATAGCATTTCTTTTCTCACATGTAGTCTAGCAGAAAACCCATAGCATAGAAGGCAGTAGTACGGGACAGACCACTTGTGGTCTGCCTACCTGGAAAGTCTTGTTATGTGTGTTTGCACAAGGATGTGATGAGTAGCTCTACCAGCCCATCATTAAAGAATGCATATGTATACTGTTTTTGTCACTGCAGAACACATTCTTTGGTCTTGAAAACCCTGTCAGTTGTGCTGCGGAGTAAAAAGTGTGTGGCACTGTGGTTGTTCACCCCTGGTAAAGGTTCAGGGAACTGTTGATGAAAGCCATTCCTAGTGATGATTCAGTTCTAGGTATTTTGCTTTTGCTACTTTGGCTGTTTAGCTAGCTAAGAAAAAAAGATCTTGTGTTCAGATGTTGTCTGTCCTGGAAGGAGTTGAAGAATGCTTCTGTATCTGCAGTGCAAAACATTGCATTTTCCTTGTCTCTGTTCTTGCTCTTATTGTGCAGGTGAGAAGGACTCAATGATTTTTGACTGTACTGAATGTTATGATCCTGTTACTAAGCAGTGGACCACTGTGGCTTCCATGAACCATCCCCGTTGTGGACTGGGAGTATGCACGTGTTATGGTGCTATCTATGCTTTGGGTAAGTTAATTTTAAAGGAAATTATTTAAAAGAGTTCATGGAGCATGTAATATTTAAGATCGAATCAATTCACATCTTGGTGTTGCAAATTTGCAAACTTAAGTTTTGAAAAACAGCTGTTTATTCGAGCATTAGCATACCAAATCTTTGTGGATTAGTTATTGTTCAGTTATAACTTATTTCCATTGAAGATTGCATGCTGGTTTAAGAATTAGTCTGTCCTGGAGCAGTGCACCATATGTCTAAAAATGCAGCTGACGCACAGCTTCATGCCGTTAAATTCTTCCCTGTGTTTGCTGTTACTTGCAGGAGGTTGGGTTGGAGCAGAGATTGGCAACACAATTGAAAGATTTGATCCTGAAGAAAATAGTTGGGATGTGGTGGGAAGCATGGCTGTGCCCCGTTACTGCTTTGGGTGTTGTGAAATGCAAGGTGAATATTGTTAAGTCTGTATCCATAAACAGTTCCAAGAGCCATTGGATTTTGAAGCTTTATGTTTCAGTCATGAATTTTTACCTTTATCTTGTACTGTGCTGTCAGTTGCACAAGCTTGTGTCTCACCTATTTGTCCTTCTAGTACCTTATTTTTAATTCTACAGAACTCAAAGACTATAAAGTTCTCTCTGTCTTCTGCCTTTTGTCTCATGAAAATAGTTTTTATGTGGCTGGCAGTATGGGTATCCTTCTAGTCTTTTAACAGTTGATTGTCCTTTCTGATACTGCGTTTATTTACCTCACATATTTGGGTTTGTGTGTGTCTTTGTGACAAACTGAAGAGTTGCCACAGGTTATTTTAAGACAGACATGTCTAAAGATTTGATCTATAAATGCACTTATTAAGCATTTGATCCAGGCTTGGTCAGCAGTTGCAGCCTTCTGAATTCTCTCCCCTGCACTTGATTACCGCTTTCATCACAGCTTCTGGAGCTTGAGCCTCAAGTTACTCATTTGAAAGCTTTATGTATGCTACTGCTGGGCAAATGGAAGACTTTTATCTGGCATTCTTAAATTATCTTATAATGTCAGGCTGAAACTTGTATTGTGACAAACATTTTCTGTCTTTCAAACCTTTGTATTATGAAACCTAATAGAGGAAAACTCTGTTTCTCCAGGTCTGATTTATGTTGTTGGTGGTATTGGCAATGAAGGAGTAGAGCTACGTTCCGTTGAAGTCTACGACCCAATATCTAAACGTTGGTCTGAGCTTGCTCCAATGGGCACCCAAAGAGCATACCTTGGTGTGGCTGCTCTCAATGATTGTATCTATGCTGTGGGTGGCTGGAATGAATCTCAGGATGCACTTGCTACTGTAGAAAGATACTCCTTTGAAGAGGTATGGTAGAGTCCTTTTCTTTCATTAAATGCAGATTGCATCAACTTTGTGTAAGGTGCTATAGAGGTAGCCTGCTTCCTCCTTTAAAAAGTTGGAAGTTCCATGTCCTTTTCACGACTGGCTGGTAATCTGAGTGAAACAAAGCTTCAGTGACCTCAGGGTCTGTCTGTCCTAACCAGTCTGTAGAATCCTGCTATCTGACTTAGTGGAGTGCTTACAAAGATTGTATGTATGCTTCTGGGAAACTGAAAGCTAACCAATACTGATGATGCATAGATATACTGTAGTTTGGTAAATGTTTGTTAGGGTTAAGACGGGGGGATAGATTCCCCTTCTGCAATAGAATGGTCAGTAATCTGACAAGAGAGAAAAAAAATCCCTGGGAAAATAAGAGTTGCCCTTTGTTGCAAAAGTTGAGGATCCTTCTTCTGCATCAAAATGTAATGGTGTTTCAGCATGACTAGAAAAATCACTTTGAACACTTAAGCTTTTGAATAAGAAATTATTTGAATAAGAAATTATTCCTGACATGAGCATTAGATTGCTCATGTTTCTATGATGCTCTTTGCAACAGTCACTAGTGTTAAAAGCACAACGTAATCCAGTGTGCCATTCTGTTTTGCTTTTGGACTTGAATCTAGTTTTCCTTATTTCCCACCTCAAACTGTGTACCATTGTCTATTGTGGAAACAGAATGCATCCTGCAGGGTCTGAGGAAAGGGAGGGGTGTTGTGTATGGACAGTATGTGATCTGTTCTTTAGTGACTAGCATGATTTCAACCACTTGTGAAAGTGTTGTCATTCCAGTCTTGATAATCCTCTTGATACTGTACACATACCATGCTTGAGCCTGTGAAATGTATGCGTAGTGTTCTTTGTATGCATTTCAGTCTTTAAGCTTTAAAAGTTACTTTTATCAGAATCGTGGCTTACCCTAAAACTGCTTGTTGACTCTTTCACCTTCTCATTAGGAAAAGTGGGTTGAAGTCGCATCAATGAAGATACCAAGAGCGGGTGTCTGTGTTGTGGCTGTGAATGGATTTCTTTATGCCTCAGGGGGCCGAGCTCCCAGTCATGATTTTGCTGCTCCAGTAACCTCTGACTCTGTTGAAGTTTATAACCCTCATATGGACAGTTGGACTGAAATTGCCAACATGATCACCAGCCGCTGTGAAGGAGGTGTAGCTGTGCTGTAAAACACAAAAAAGAAAGCTCATTCAAGGAATGAATAAATCTGTCTCCTCAGATTTCCAGTTTCACTGGCCAGAAACCTCTTCTAACACAGGAGCTTCAGTATAGACAGTGAAGAATTAGATCAGAGGGCTTTTCCTGAGCAAAAGGAAATACTAAAACTCTTGCCCTTCAAATTGGCTTCTCCAGTGTCTGTCTCAGGGTATTCTGTTAAAAGTAGGAATGCCCCTTATGGCTGGATTAAGCTCACTGAAATAAATGGTGATTTTGCCCTGTAAAAATCTGAAGGAGTTCCAGCACATTAGAGACATTAATCAGGTTGTTAACTCGCTAAGGTGCACCAAAGCTAGCATCCTTAGCTGGCCTTATGATCTGGAAGGAGGCTACTATAGACAGCTAGGAGTTATCTGTAGGTACGAGCAGATGGGCTACTTGGTTAGCATTAGTTGTCCTTTTCTGGGGGGAAACAAGAGAAGATAACAGGTGGGGAAGGCTTGGTACCTCTGCTTTATGACCTTAATGCATTTGAACCTCTTTTCTGCTGCTGGACATGATGGGCATTATATATGAATCAGATATTTACTTTCTGGCCATCCCACTAACTTGGAATGCAAGTGGCTGAGAATTTTCTGTTCTGGAAGGTTATTCTCAGAGTTCTAATAATGTCATTCCACTTCAGCAAAGGCTTTTCTTCTCAGTGGTATCAGCAATGACAGTAGAGCTCCTTTTTGTGTAAGCTTTGATGAATTTTAAATGGAAATGCTATTCATTAGATTAGCTGTTCTGTTTAGGACTGCTCTTAGTATTAGTTAAATGTGTTTTTACCCTGTGTGACACATGCTGAGGCTTGGCACTGGCATACATGCTATTCTACAGGGTACACACAGTCATCCTTGCTACATCTTGTATTCTGTCTCTTCCAAATTTGAGCGGATGGAGTGTTTTGTGGTAGAATTAGCTGCACTCAGCATTAAAGTGATCCTATTAGTGTGTTTGTTTTTAAGGAGTTTGTATTTAGCTTGGATACGCTTAGTAGAACAATACTACTAGGAGTTTGGAGTTATTTCTAGATTAATTTAATTAACGTACTTGAAGTTGCTTTTGCACAGTGATTGCATTTTCTGCACAGCTGTGGATGATTTGGATGGAGCCTGAAATAAGGGTGCTTGAACTTTGATAGACAGTGTTATTCTAGAACACAAAACCACAACTGGAATGTCACAAAACAGGAAGCCTGTACTGTGTTAGACAAAGGAGTATTCATGCTGTCTAGGTCAATAGTCCTTGTGTAAAATTAACATTCATACATTAATAAATCCCTTGTGTAAAATTAACAAATTAATACATGAATAAAAGCCTCCAAGGCGAGTGGTGCAGGTACCTTAAGAATCTAGGTCTTGCATTCTAACGTAGGGCTGGGAGATTGCCAGGCTAAAACATCCTAGACGATGGAGCATTTGTTTCTCTGATTGTTCTATAATCTTGTGTATACTTTTACTTCAAAAGGATTTCTTATGTGTGTGAACTAATGTCTATCACGTCTTTTTTTTTTTTCCCCAAAGTTTAAGCTTGTTTTAAAGAGTTTTTCATAATAAAATGCATTTTCAGAACTGACTGTGGAATACTCTTCAATAGGTTGCTTTTCTATCATCATGAGTTGTATCACTGCCACTTTTATTTTCCCTTTTTTTATTGGAAATCCTATTTCCTAGGAAAGATTGGTTGTAAGTGTTGACTATCTGAAAGGTGCAAGTGACACACTTCTGTAGTAAAATACTCATGTATTTCTCTTCTCAGTGTAAAATCACTCAGACTTCTTAGAAGTCTGGCTGCCTCGCCAGCTCTGCGATCAAATGATAGGTAACATTTCTTAGGGTTTCTTCTTTACAGTTAAGGATCCCTCGTGAACCATTTGAGAAACATTACTTTAGCTGTATTTTATTCGTTTGGGAACCAGGAGTTCGATTCTCATCCCTACCTGTAAACTTTCTGTTCAGTGGATCTTGAAGGAGTCTGCTGTTCTATGCAGTTACCTTCTCCAGTTTTTGTGGTTGATTCCATCACATTTGAACGCAACTTTGAAGTCAGTTGATTATGGTCTCTAATACCCAGCACCTTTTTCCCTGAATCAAGCCAAAGGCAGTACTCTGCTCTGGACACATCTTTAAAAACGCCATGTCTAAGTGAGAAAGAATAGAACTGTTTTCATTTACAAACTCCTTTTTACTTCCTTTATATTTGGAGAGCACTGAAATATATCATTGTTTTAGAGGTGTGGTGCTGTTAACATGTAAAGGTTAACAGGTTAGGAAAGTTAGAGGCTCATGTACACAGTTGCTGTTGTAGCAGTATCATACAAGAAGATAGCTCTGACTTCAGGATAGGCGGGTTTCTTAAACATCTATTCTTTGTAGAACAAACATATAAGAAATTTTAAATGACAGTATGTGCTTTATTCTGTATAGAACAATGAAAAACAGTGCTTTAAGAGGAACTATGAAGCTTATCTAAATTGGCTGTAAGAACGTGCGTGAATGTCACTTTTCAACTTTCTTCTTGCATCTTATACTGTACTTAAAGAATACTTAAGATAAAAAGCCTACAGTGAATATGCCCACATACAATTTTGTAGGTTTCTTGAGGTAGCTGAGGCTAGAAAAGAAAAATTACATGATTTATGTTATATCTTCTTCCCCTCAGTGATGTGTTAGGGAGACTCAAGTACAAAGACCATCTGTTCCTGCAGTGTTTTCAATAATTGGCCCATCATGGAGGGTTTGCAGGCTACAAGTCCATTTGTACCTGCCCCAGGTGCTCAAACGAGTTTTGAGGAGGAAGGAAAAGACACAAACTACTTTCAATCCCATTACCTCATCCTCTAGTGCCAGCAATTGAGTCCTTGTGTCATATCATTTGATAGTACTTAAATTTAGGAGTATGATAGATCTTTGTGGCTATGTTGTATGCAACCGCCTTGGCTAGGCAGCCCCAAGTCCAAACAAAACCTAGGAAGAGATGGCCCAGGTATCTTTTTTTATTTTAGCAAGCCTGAGTAGGAAGCTAACCTTCTGTCTCTTACAGCACCTGGTCAAGGATACAAAGCTTCCTCTTTTTGCTTTCCCCACGCCATCACAGCAGCTGGGTGACATATTTTAGGCAAGTGCTGACCTTGGTTTGCCACTGCAAACAAACCTTGCCTATCCGTTCTTACCTGACTAGCTCTTAATCGCATAGCAGTCTCGGCACCTTCTCAGTTGAAATAAGACAGTTTTATTTTTTTGCATTTCCACAACAGGGGAATCGAACGTGTATGTACTTTTACATAATTCTCTGCTGCTTCTTTAAAAACTAAACTATAACTGCTCTCACCTTGTTACTGTTTATGCCTACATGGTCGTCCTCCCCACCACAGAACGTTACCACACATTAGTTAAACCAGATACTTTAATAATTCAGCACAGAGCAATTCATACCCATGTCATTTGAATCTCCATTTTAAATTCATATGACAGTAACATCTCACTCAAGAGTGATGCTTGGAAGTCATCAGTATTTACAATCCTTCCCTATTAAACTTGCTAAGTTGTTTACTTTGAGAATAAGCATCTTGATCACTGCCATCTTGTGACTTAAAAGCACATGTAAGTCTTTTATTTCCCCTGGAACTCAATACAAATACATTAGTGGCAGATAAACAGCTTTTTGCTATTGATTTATTATTTTGTGTTCTGCCATTTATTCCTG